TAGTTATCCCAAATTTCATATAGGGATGTAAAACTACACCTTCAAAAATTAATATCTTTCTATGTAACTACTGGCTTTTATCTAAATACTGTGGAATAAAATCTATGTCCAACCTTTTAAAAATGTGTGATTACCTAGAATGTTAAAGTTTTGCTACTTAAAAATTATTTTATCTTAATATTAGGAAACAAAATAAAATATTTTTAATGAAAATTTATGGTTTCATCTAGTTCGTAACTGGTAAAAAGATGAAATCATATTTCTGCCTGTTTGTCCTTGAAGTAAAGCTCAGCAAACGTTTCTGGGGTTTGTAGTGTGGACACTCTGGTAGACTCATAGTCTAGCGATGTTATAGTGAGTGTGATGAGCTCACTAAGAATTTTAACCCTTGCTCTCTGTGCTGCTAGTTAATACTCTGTAAGACCTGCTCAGGAATGCAGTGTCAGCCCTTATAATTTTAGTGATAATAGATTCATTCAGCTTTTCCCCCTCTAACTTCCAAAAGCAACTATTTTCCCTGGAATTAGATATCATGGCCCATACCTAGTAATTGTCTTGAACTATTTTTCTAATTAGTGTACTAAATTAAGTCATTGCTGTAACTAATTGTCCTGGGTATATAAAAGCATCTTGTGCTATTCTTGCAACTTTTCTGAAGTTTGAAATCACAGAAAAATGTAAAGAAAAAGATTACTATTGATACTCCTGGGGATTATGCACGTTGTATTACAGATATTGGAAGAAAATAATTCTAATGAGAGAGAATTCAAAGAAATCTGAAAACTCTTGTTGAATTTAATTCACTTCCTTGCTCAAAGTATGGCAGAAATATTAGAGAGGGTGACACATGGGTGGAACAGACACTTGTTTTGAGAGTGGGCATTCTATGTGTGGCATTAGGGCACTGAAGGACTTAAGATAACACCACAGTCGTCATGTTCTGAGCCAATAGCCTTTACCTTTTGGAAATATGAGGAACAACAAATATAATTTTCAAAATCATTTTCGGGGCAAAGTGCATCAAAAGTCCATCTGGGGCCGGCCCGGTGGTGCACTGCTACAGTGCACCGCTTGGGAGTGCTGCAGCGCTCCCGCCGAGGGTTCGGATCCCA